ACTTTTTTTTACCCAAGACCTTTGTAGAAGAGAAGGCCCTCTAAAGGTCTAGTAAGTGGTATGCATAAAATACATATGGGGGATCTTCTCCTTTCTGCAGTTCTTGTCTGTGTGGAAGCCATGAAAATGCCTTCTATGACCTTTAGTAGTCCTTCTAAGTATAAAAGAGTTGTAGTGCTTTCCACGTAGAGAATATTACTCCTTTTTTGCCCAGAAGCCTTTTACAAGGAATTTTAATGAATGTTTCCTGGGCTGAAATTTCCTTGAATTTGCGAGTTCTGAATTTGATTCCCATTATTTGCAGAATTTTTATTTTGTTACCATTCTCTTTTTCCCAAAAATCTTCCCTAAACTATTTCCTATTTCCATCCCCACATTCTTTGAGATTTCAATTTCAAAGAGAAAAATAGAAATATTTCCCAAACAACTTGAAAATCCTCTTCAAAGAAAGCAAGAAATTCCCGAGCACTTTGATGTTCGTCCTGGTGAACAAAAGGCCTTGGCAATATCCTGTCCGCACACAAAATGGGAGTGATGAATGTGTGTATGAGTGTAGATGTCAATGAGCGAATGAATGAGTGAATGAATGGCTACAATGAATACCAAACAATAAAAAGTTTTCTAGCTGGAATACTGTTACAACACTCAACACCCACCATTACCCCCAAACCATTCGGCCAACCAGCCAGCCATTCAGTCTGTCATCCATCCAACCAACCATCCATCCAACCTGTTATTAGAAGAAAGGAAATCTTGAAAACAGAAAAACCGTTTTCTCATTAAGAAAACAACAGGAGTCTTAGTTTGTTATGAATGGCAAGGTGCTTTTGTTGTTGTTGTTATTATTATTCTATGTGTAATGCTATTGACGCTTCTCCTGCTGGTTTCTTGGTCCTTTCTTTCGCTTCTCAGATACTTGTCAGACATTCTGTGTTAAGGCAGTCATTCATCTCTCCCCGTTTAACTCATGCCCAACACTAGTTTCTTTTTTCCCATTCCCTTTTTTGTTGTTGTTACTTTTGTATTCCTGGAGGAAAAATTAAGTTGAGGTGTGAAAAAAGTTACTTCTTTCCTTTGTAAGACACTTAGACAGCAGCAGGAGCAAGAGGAAGGAGGCTTTTGTGAGGTCCTGCTCCCTTTCGGCGGGCTGTTTGTTTAGCATGCCAAGAGTGGCAGCAAGGAAATTGTTGATATTGTTACAGCTGCCGTTGTTGTTGTTGTTTTTGTTTATTTTTATTTTCTTCTCTTTTTCTTCTTCTTAGTATTCTTAATTTATGGGAATGGTTAAGAGCAAAGGAATGGAATGGAAAAGTTTTTTCCTTGCTACATTTCCCCCCTCTGCTGTAAATGCTGATAATTTCAGTACATTCCCATCATCATGTTCTGGACTACCGTTTCCTTTTAACAAATCTCTCGCTCTCTTGTTTATGTTCAGCGAGCGTGAAAAAAAAGAAACAAACGAAAGAAAATTTGATACAAAGTTTTAATTTCCTTTGAAGTTGTAACAAAGCACGTTTCTTCCAAGCGAGGAGGGATGACAAAAGTAATTCTATGTTTGAGAGGGAAGAAATATATGTTTTCAAGGACTAATAGACCATGGAAATGTAGAGTTTTGAAAGGGAAAATTTTCAAGGATCTGAGAATGTTTTTGCAAGGACATCAATGAAGCGAGGGTTTTTTTAATGAGGATATAAGTATATTTTTCAGGATTTTTTTCAGATTTTTATAACGAAAAATTTTCAAGGATCAACTGGTCATTCAAACATAGAACGGCGAATGCTTTTCAAGGATATAACAACATTTCTGCAAGGACCAAGAGACCATTGAAATTCAGATTTTTTAAACGAATATTTTTCAAGGACCAACCGCACATCCAAACGTTTATTTTTTAAGAATTTTTTTCGAGGACGAAACGTGTATTTTAAGGAATATTTTTTCAAGGGCGAAATGTGGATTTTTAAGGAAAAATTTCAAGGATAAAATGTGAATTTTTAAAGAAAAAATTTCAAGGCTAAAATATTGATTCTTAAGAAACGTTTATTTTTTAGGAATATTTTTTCAAGGACGAAATGTGGATTTTAAGGATTAATTTTTTCAATGATCAAATGTGGATTTTTAAACAAAAATTTTCAAGGATAGAATGTTGATTCTTTAGAATTTTTTTAAGGGCCAGCAGACCAGGCAATTCTCGACTTTTAAGAATTTTTTTCAAGGACCAACAGGCCAGCCTAACCTGGACTTTAAGATTTTTTTCTCGAGTACCAAACGCGATTTTTTAAGTTTTTTTTTTTAATATTTTGTCAAGGACCAAGCCAGGATTTTTATGAATATTTTTTTTCAAGGAGTAAATGTAGATTTTTTGGGATTATTTTTTACAGGGACCTATCTTGGATTTTAAAGAATATTTTTTAAGGAAAAAAAAACATGGATTTTAAGGAAAATTTTTTCAAGGACCAAGCGTTGATTTTTAAGAATTTCTTAAAAGGACCAACTAACTATCCAAACATTGATTTTTAAGAATATTTTCTCAAGGACCAAATGTGGATTTTTTAGAATATTATTTCAAGGACCAAACTTGTATTTTTAAGATTTTTTTTTCAAGAATAAACTGGTGATTTTTAAATTTTTTTTTCTAGGGACCAAACGGGGATTTTTAAGAAGTTTTTTCCAAGGACCAAACGTGGATTTTTAAGAATTGTTTTCCAACTGACCATTCAAACGTGCATTTTTAAGATTTTTTTCCAACAACCAATCGACAATTTTTAAGATTTTTTTTCTGAGGATCAAACGTGGATTTTTAACCAATTTTTTCAAAGGACCAAACGTAGATGTTTATAAATTGTTTTGAAACTGACCATTCAAACGTGTATTTTTCAGAACTTTTTCTAAGGACCAACCGAAATTTTTTTGAATTTTTTCTGAGGATCAATCGTGGATTTTTAAATTATTTTTTCCAAGGACCAAACATGGATTTTTATGAAATTTTTTCTAAGGACCAATCGTGGATTTTTAAGAAATGTTTTCCAACTGATCATTCAAACGTGCATTTTGAAGAATTTTTTCCAAGGACCAAACGACAATTTTTAAGATTTTTTCCAAGAACCTACCGAACGTGTATTTGTAAGAATTGTTTTCTGAGGACCAAACGTGGATTTTTAAGAATTTTTTTCTGAGGACCAAACATACATTTTTAAAAATGTCCAACTGACTGACTTTTTGAATAGACGTAGATTTTTAAGAATTTTCCCAAGGACCTACGAAAATATTTAAGAAAAATTTTCTGAGGATCAAAAGTGGATTTTTAAATTCTTTTCCAAGGACCAAACAGGGATTTTTAAGAATTTTTTCTGAGGGTGAAACGTGGATTTTTAAATAATTTTTCTAAGGACCAAACATGGATTTTTAAGATTTTTTCCCAGGACCAAACATGGATTTTTAAGATTTTTTCCCAGGACCAAATATATATTTTTAAGAATTTTTTTCCAAGGACATCCATCCAAACGTGGATTTTAGGAATTATTTTCCAAGGACCAAATGACCATTCAAACGTGGATTTTTAAAATTTTTTTCCAAGGACCAAGCGTGGATTTTTAGTATTTTTTTCTAAGGACCAAACATGGATTTTTAAGGATTTTTGTTCCAACGACAACCTGACCATCTAAATGTGGATTTTTAAGATTTTTCCAACGACCAACTGACCACCAAAACGTGGATTTTTAGGAATATTATTATTCAAGGACCAAAGGTGGATTTAAAAAAATCAAGGATCAAATGTGGATTTTTAAAAAGGATTCCTAAGAATATTTTTTTAGGACCCATCTGGATTTTTAAGAGTAATTTATAAGATTTTTAAGAATATTTTTTAAGGATCAAACGTGGATTTTATGAATATTTTTTTTAAATATTATTCAAGGATTTTTCAGAATACCTTTTCAACATAAAATACTTTTTCAAGGATTTTTAAGAATATTTTTTCAAGGACCAAAAGTGGTTTTTTAACAATACCTTTTTAAGGATTTTTAATCAATCAATCAATAATTTTTCAAAGATTTTTAAGAATATCTTTTAAATGATTTTAAGAAGATTTTTTAGAATAATTTTAAAAGACCAAAGGTGGATTTTTAATTTTTTCAAGAATTTCTAAGAAAGTTTTTCAATGACTAAATCTGCATTGTTATCAAATTTTTTCAAGGATTTTTAATAATATTTTAAAGGACCTATCGGGGATTTTTCAGAATAATTTTTCAAACGTTTTTAAAAATACATTCACAAAGATTTTTAAGAATAGTGTTTCAAGGATTTCTAGGAACATGTTTTCAAGGATCAAAGGATTTTTAATGTTACTTTTTCAAGAATTTTTTATAAAAAATATTTTCAAGGATTTCTAAGAATATTTTTTAAAGGACCAAACGAATAATTATTTTTACGAATAATTTTTTAAGGAATTTAAATAATAATTTTCCAAGGATTATTGAGAATATTTTTAGGGGACAAATCAAGGATTTTTATAAATATTTTTTTAAAGTTTTTTAAAAATATGTTCTCAAGGATTTTTAATAATTGTTTTAAAGGATTTCTGAGAATGTTTTGTCCACCGTGGATTAAGGAATATTTTTAAACCACTTGTAAGAATATGTTTTCAAGTTATAAAGGAACCTTTTGCAGGTTTTCAAGGATTTTTAAGAACTAACAGTATATTTGTGAAGTGTTTTGTCAAAGCTCAAATTTTCAAATGGCAAAGACTTAAAATTTCGAAGTTCTTAAAAAAATATTTCATTGAAAAACAGACCAAGATTTCATATTGATAGAGTGTACCTATTTTACCACTATTTATTTTTCTAATAAATTCAATCAAAGTTTTTTATGACCTAACATTAGATCAACATTTTTCTCTGGCGCCATCTATATCTCAATTTTTAATTTTTGATCATTTCATGTTTTCATGTTTGTTTTTTTCTTGTAATTCCCTTTAACTAATTGTATATTTCTGTTCTTTCCAGTTTCGATGTAGAAAATGGCCAAAGTGCTCGATCTCCGCTCGAGGGCGGTTCACCCAGCGCCGGTCTGGTCTTGCAAAATCTTCCACAGCGTCGCGAATCGTTCTTATATCGTTCCGATTCTGATTTTGAAATGTCACCCAAATCAATGTCCCGCAATTCAAGCATTGCTAGTGAAAGGTAAGTCAAAGGCATATTTTTCAAACTTTTTGTGTTACAAAATTGATAAAAAAAATTAAATAAAAATAATTTAATTAACTAAAAATTATTAACTAAAAACCAAATTTAAATAGCTTAAAATAGATTTAAATAGAAATTTAATTAATGCTTTGAAATGCATTTGCTTTGATTTTGGGTTTATTTATTTTATTTATTTTATTTTTTATAGTTATAGTATTATAAAAAATATTTATTTATTTATTTTATTTTTTAATTATATTTTTTATTATTTTTAATAGTTTTAGTATTATACAAAATTATTTATTTATTTTATTTCTTTTTAAGAAATATATAATATAATTTTGTTTATTTTATATTTTGTCATTAATAAGTGTTGCATTGTTCTGACATTTTAAATGGCCTGCTCTGTTGGATTTTTGGTCATGATTGCATTTTCCCCCATTCACGAATTTTCCACATTGTCCCCTGTTCGTCCCAGCAAATGTTCCAATTTTTTTAAATACACATTTTGCTTAGTTTCACTGCCACGCCCCCCCTGTCCACGTGTGTCAAATAATGAGTAAGTCTCAGGTCACGAAGTCCCAGGGTAAAGATTTTCTTTTTTTGTTAGCAGAACAAATAAAAATACAGGGTGAGATAAAAAACCTACAACAAAGTCAAACGCCATAATTTTTACATTTTTTTTTAATTTTATTGAATGAAAGCAAAAAAATGTCGGAAATAGCATCAAATTTTAGAATAAGTTTAGTTTTGTTCGAATTAGTCAACTTTGGCTCGAATTATGGCCTTCAAACGGCCAATGAAACCGTCACACGTTGCGTGAATATTGCTCTGTGGTATTTTTGTCCATTTCCGGCAAGCGCTTGCTTGAGGTGATCGGCACTTTGGTGTTTTTTAGTGCCAACCTTGCTTTCGAAAATACTCCAGACACAATAGTCCAACGGATTGGTATCCGGAGATTTTGGTGGCCATGTGGTGTACGCAGGAAATGAAGCGAGGAACCTCATTTTGTAAACATTCTTGGGTGGCGCCTGCTGAGTGCGATGATGCGCTGAGTCCTGTTGGAATGTCCAAGGTCTGCAGCCAAAATGTTTGTGTGCCCAAGGCTTTAATACACCCTCCAGAATATCTTTGCAATGATATTCGGCATTTATTCTGATGCCAGATCGATTAGTACGAGTGGAGAGCGACCATCGCCTGTTATGGCGGCCCACACCATCACCATGGTCGGCGCTTGAGTTCTGGTGGCGAACCGAAGGTGCACATTTCAGCTGACCTCTTTGGCAAGTAAACACGATAATTTTGTTTGTTTACAAACTGCTGGACAACGAATGTTTTCTCATCGGAGACGGAGAAGACCAAATTCGGCAGCTCACCACTTTCGGCCAAGCGAAGCAACTCTTTAGCTCTTTTGAGTGCACTTTTTGGAATTTTAATGGCTTTACCCCGAGCTCGTTTTTTAAAAATTTGCCGAATGGAATATGGCTATATGTTTAGCTCACGAGCCATTTTTCGGCCACTGCGACGCGGGTCCCGGCTTTCGCTCAAGTAGCTACATTACTTTTCGAACCATTTCTGCTGATGTTGCTGTTTTCTTCCGCTTCCTTCCACTTCCTTGATGTCGGGCTACGCTACCAGTATCACGGTAACGAGCAATGGTACGAGACACAAAAAATTTATTCACATTTAAATGCTGCTGGAGTGCTCTAACGATAGCCACTTGTGGTTTTCCAGCCAAATATAAAAAAATCACGCTTGAATTCCATCACGAATAACTTTTTTTCTGGAAAATTCTCCCCAAATTGCTTTTCTACGCTTATAAACAATATAATGAGCTGTCACTGGAATAATTTTAACAGTTGTCGGACGAGTGGCTTAGAAATGACAGCAGCCTGAAGTTGGTTGCAGTTTTTTTTATATCTCACCTTGTATAGTATTTTTTCCGACATGTCAAATATCCTACCATTCTTCGTTACAATAACTCAATTGCGGGCATAAGAGGCCCGCAACGAATCAATCTGATGCTATTAAATTTTGATGTAATTAAATAAATCCGCTCAATCAAAAATATTTGAAAAATTCAAAATGAAATAAAATATAAACTATTTTGTTATTTTTGAAATGATCTACACACTCACACACACGAAAATAATGGCAGCTGCAACTTGTGAACATTTTTGCAGCTGCATAAAGAGAAACCACAAATTAAAAGTTATTAACCAAAGCGCAACAATTTTCGAACACCCCCACTCTGACCCTCAGCAACAGCGAACAATCACGCCAACGAATTCGCACTTAAATTTATGAGATTTTTGTTAGTTTTTACAAACATATACACACACACATACATGTATACATTTTTTTTTTTGTAAAAGGCCAACCAACCAGCCAAGCGTCAAGCCAAAACTCATTAGCAATAAAATTATATATTTTACGTTTTTGCCAGTTGGGTGTGCTTTTGATACGAGAAAATAAGCTCATAAAAATTGTTGTAATGCGAAAAAAATCAAAACAAATAGAAAAGCAACAGAAAAATTTGTAATTTTTTTTGTAAACTAGTTAGTTACATATATTTTTGTTTTTAGAAATTTAGAGACTTGGTCCAAAAATGGAAAATATTTTTAATTGTGGCACAATAAATTATAAAAGCGATTTTATGGAATTTCTACATGACTGGAAATTTGGAAATAGAAATACTTGTAAATAAAAAAAAAACCGATACCTGTTGGCCCGCAAAAAAAAAATCAGAAAATTCTGATTTCGTACTCCTTGGCCAGGTATTTTTAAAAACCCCCGATTTATTTGCCTATTTGTCCTTAAATAAATCTCAAATTTATAATTCTATTTTCCCCTTAAAAAATAAAATTGCTAAGTTATTGTTTTATTTGTCCTTGAAAAATATTTAAAAAAACCGCAATTTTATTTTGGTATATTTATCCCCCAAAAATATTCCCAAGAATCCCAGATCTTATGTCCATTAACCTTTGATTTTTTAAAGAATTCTCATTCAAAGTCTACGTTTAGTTGAGTTATTAGACCTAAAAAGCAAAATTCACGTTGGTTCTTTATCATATTATCCTTTGATCCTCAAATAAATATACTTTTTCTTAGAATTCTCGTTGATTCGTTGAGCCTTGACAACATGTTTTTTTTATCCAACATTTTTTTTTTATGGTTTAAACATCCACGTCGGTCCTTGAAAAAATACTTTTTGTAGTTGAAAAATATATATCCTTTAAAAATTCATATGTTGGTCCATGAAAATCTATTTTTTTAAAATGCAAATTTGGAAGATCTGTTGGACCCTGAAAAAAGGCTTCAAAAATTCATGTTTTTTAATTCACGTAGGTCCTTTAACATATTATTTTTTGATCCTCAAATTAATATACTTTTTATTAGAATTCTCGTTGGTCCTTTGTTCTTTGATCCTTGACAACGTGTTTTTGTAACCAAGCAGATTTTTTTTTTAAATTATCCTTTAAACATCCATGTCGATCCTTGAAAAAATACTTTTTGTCGTTGAAAATTATATATCCTTTAAAAATCCAAATGTTGGTCCTTGAAAATCTATTTTTTTAAAATGCAAATTTGGAAGATCTGTTGGACCCTGAAAAAAAGGCTTCAAAAATACATATTTTTATGGTCTGTTCGTCCTTTGAAAAACATGAGTTGATCACTGGAAAATGAACTCCTTGAAAATTATTCTTCTTAAAAGACCACATTAGTCCTAGAAAAAAATTCTCTTTTAACCTTCAAAAATACCATGTTGGTGCTTTAAAAAACAAACTCCTTCAACCTTAAAAAAAATGTTCTTGAAAGAAGAATTATATCATCCTTGAATGAATATTCTTTGGAAAATTAACATTGGTCCTTGGAAAAGAAACTCTCTTATCCTTTATAAAAAAGTCTCTTCAAAAATCCACGTTAGCCGTTGCAAAAATACTCTTTCTTACTTGAAAAAAAATATTCTTTTTAAAAACCCATTGACCTTTGAAAAATATTTTTTGATCCTTGAAAAAATTTTATTTTTAGAAATTCACGTTGGTAATTTAAAACATTTTTTTGATCCTTCAAAAAATATTCGTTTTAAAATTCCGTTGACCTTTGAAAAATACGTTTATTGAGCCTTCAAAAATTATCCTTTTTAGAAACTTACGTTGGTCCTTGAAAACAAATTGTTTTATCCTTGAAAACATTTTCATTTTTTACAAATCCACATTGGTCCTACAAAAAATACTCTTTTATGATTGATTAATGTTCGTTTTGAAAATCCAATTGTGTCCTTGAAAAATCATTCCTCAAAGATCATGGTTTTGTGGTTTGATTGTCCTAAAAAAATGTTCAAAAGAGTCCAAAATCTAAAAATTCATTAAAAAATCAATTTTTGGTCCCAGAACAAATTTTCTTAGAATTCCTAGTCCATGAAAATGTATTATTAAAAATCCACATGTAGTCCTTGATACATATTCTTAAAAATCCACGATGGTTGAATGTCCTTCTTAAAAAATATTCTTTAGAAATCTAGGGGTGGATGGTTCTTTGGTCCTTGAAAATTTTCTTTAAAAATTCACATTTCGATGTTTGAAGGACTTTGAAAAATATGCCTGAAAATCCACGTTTGGACGTTTTTAATCATTGAAAAATATGCTTGAAAAATCCATCCAAATGTTCTTAAAGTTTTGGATGCTCTTCTGGTCCTTGAAAATATTGTTTAAAAATCCTGAATTGGATGGTCTGTTGATATTTGAACATTTTTTTTAATGCTGAGCTGGATGCTATTTTGGTCCTTGAAAAATACTCTTTAAAAATCCAGGTTTAGATGGCTGAAGGTCCCTGAAAAACATTCTTTAAAAATATACGTTCGTTTGGTCCTTAAAAAGTATTCTTTAAAAATACATGTTAGGATGTTTTTTTTAATTCTTGAGAAATCCACGTTTGGAGTGTATTTTGATCCTTGAAACATATTCTTTAAAAATCCACATTTGGAGTGTATTTTGATC